ACACTTAAAACATTTATAAACCCTGAAAGTTTTATACGATATGTTAAGTTTTGATTAAAAAATGTTGTCAAACTGACTCGGTAGGATATTGTGGCTGAAAGCTCACCAAAACTTGGTCTCTCCACCCGAAACAGAATCTTTGGTTATGGAATATAAAACAAAGTTTTTGTATGTATGTTCAAAAGTAATATCGAATTTCATCCTCATAGTTTATTCCGTAAAGTTTTGCAGATGCCTATGTTGAAGCTTACCCCAGCTGACGTGACGTCACCTCATCTCACACAGGTATAATCGAATTTGTAAGAAGTCATATTTTTTGTTTTTAATACATATCCTAAAAATGCTTTTCATGTTGCAAAAAACTTTCTCAGAAATGTTTGTTGTTTTTGTAATTGTAAGGGAATTAGCTGTTAGCTAGGGTGAGTCCCCACCCTTGATATTCCACCCATATCTACCTTAATAGTTTCCACGAACTGATGTATTTCAATTTGATATTCTTTTCCAATAAATTTTCCTGTAATTTTCGATTATGAGTTTTCAATGGTATTAAATATTGACTGATTTTGTTGTTTCACTTAAGCCAAACTTCCAGGAAGAATTTAATTCTCTCTAATCCCACGGCATTCCCACTTCGAATGTATGTCTTATAAGTTGCAGGAGAGAAATTAAAAGAAATATTTATTAACTATTTTTTGTGTCGTAGTTTTGTTGCAAAGTTTTCTCTAATTAATTTCAGAATGCTTAACCAGCCATGAAAACTATTGGCAAGAATGGGAACGTTATGGCAATTAGATGCCATACAAACGCTCATCTCACTGAGCATCTTCTTTGGTTTAGTGAAAATCTTGGAATTTGGAATGAATTGCTCTTCGGTAAATCTGCGTTCAACGCTTCAGTCGTTCACATCGATTTGCCGATAATATCAAATAATCTTCATTGCCAGTGGCATTTTCCAGCGAAGAACATTTTGGCGGCGAAATATTTTCCCGTTTCCTTGCTGAGCTGAGAATTCATGAATTTTTCTCAAAGTTTTAAAGTATATGGAAGTTTCTTTCTTTTTTTTTCGGCAAAAATGCTTTCACTCCCACATTCCTTTGTTGCAAAACAAAAGAAATATTCAATATTTACTCAAACGTGCCAGGTATAATGTATATATTTTTGAAGCGCACATAAATTAGAATATGAAATTTGTAAACTTGAGTGGAGAAGAGTTTTAAAGCCTTCTGCCAGAATTTCCATTGACAGTGGCAGGAAAACTTGGCGTTGAGCGAAAACATTTTCATTAATGTAATCATTACTTTGAAAGTTTCGTTTAAAGTTCGTGGTTGCAAAGATCGAAAGAGCATAAGTGTCTCGGTACAGTTGAGTATGGGTAGTAGTACTCAAAATATTTTATGGCACAATGTTCGTACTGTGTCTAGAATGGTTGGTATGGAAAATAAAATATATTGTTCCGTGTTCCCGTATAGCCCCCATATAACCGTAGCTCCCGATATTCGGTATTTTGATAATGTTAGGCTAATTTTTCGACAGAATGGTTCCAAATTCCATGTTGAGAGTTTTTAAGGTTTCTACTTCTGTGGCAGAACATTGTCTTTATAGGTCCATATTTTATTATGACACCCATTTAACGGTACCTGAATTTGTTATGATTTTTTTCGAGGGCCTTCTAACCAGGATAAAATTTTAAAAATTTATTTGAAGATATCTGATCCAAAAATAGTGTATTTTAAATCCGAGGACCAGAAGTAGTAAAATTTTAAATAAAAATTTCGAGGATTTTCTGACCGGAAATGGTGAATCGCGAGGAACTTTTAAAACTAATTTTTGTGTTTTTTATTTTATTTTTAGACACATTTTCTAACGGATTTGTCTAAGATTTGGTATTTGTGGTTCGAAATAGGTTCTAGGTTAGGTTCATTGTATATATAGGTCCAAGTTGTCCTATGGTGCCCATATAACGCTACCGATATTTTATTCATTAAGTCAAATTTTGTCACAAATCTTTTGAAATTTGGTAATTAGAGTGTGTGATGGGATTTACATTCAGTGGCATAACATTGTCCATTTAGGACAATGTTGCCCTATAGCCCCCATATAACACTACTTCCTGATATTCATCGTAGTTTTTAAAATTTCTCGATTTTTTTTTTTTCAGAAAACCCAAAATTTTTTTAAAGAAACTGCGTTACTTGTTAAAAAAAATAAAAATAAGTAAAATAAAATAAAAAACACAAAAATTAGTTTTAAAAGTTCCTCGCTATTCACCATTTTCGGTTACAAAGTCCTCGAATATTTTATTTAAAATTTTACTACTTCTGGTCCTCGGATTTAAAATACACAATTTTTGGGTCTGATATCTTCCAAATAAATTTTAAAAATTTTATCCCGGTTAGAAGGCCCTCTAACAAATTCATAATTTAAGGATCTTTGATTTGAAGAAATGATTTAGAAGGTTCTCCACAATTTCAAAAAAAAAAAAACATAATTAGAAGGTCCCGTATCTTTTTGTTTTAAATCCAACATTTTTTTATTCGGCAAGTCCTTAAAAAGTTGTCCCTAAAAGCCTAACTCCATAAAAAAATTACGTAAGAAATTTACGATTTATGTTGGGAAGACCCTAGAAAAATGTTTTTACGAATCAGCGATCTTTGTCAAAAAGTCCTCGATATTTTCAAAAATCCTCAGTTGCTACAAAAATCTTTTATCGGAACATTCTTTAAAAACCAAACAATATCCACGATTTTTTGTCAGAAGGTCGACGAAGGAAATTTTTTGGAGAATTTCAGATTTTTGGTGAAAAGATCCTCGAGAATATTCTTTAAAAAAATTGGATTTTGAAAAAAAAAAAAACATCCATAATATTTGGCCAGAAAAGCTTCAAAAGAATATTAGTAAAAAATTTCAGTTTTTTTGTTAGAGGGTCCTTGGAACAAAAAATCCTCGATTTCGGCCAGAACGTCCTCGGCTATATGGCCCACATGTAGGATAGCCGAGGAATATGTAAAATGTAACAAGCGTCGATGGCATCAGTTCATGTGCCTAATTGTACCGTTCATGAGCTTTCTCATAAATCCAACATTGGACTGGTTAAATTGTCCTAGAAGCCATAGTAGCCAATGTTATTATCCTTTTCTAAAAATTTCTCAAGATTTGACCCTACTCCTCTAAATCGGTTCAAACTTCCTTCCACTTCTGTAAAGCTAATGAATAGTATTTTTTCAGATGGATATGTCCAGGGACCAATTGGTTTATTGTTTTTAGAGGATAACTCCAGAAATGCCCATATAACCCGGAAGCGGTCCGAACCAATGGATACTAGTCTTCATAAGAAATCCATATTGGGCCAACAGAATTGTTATGGAAGGCTCAGCGGGTTATAAACTTTTATTGACATAAAATATTGTGTCAAGAGTTAAAGGGTGTTAACAGCCTTTCTGCCTCTAGCAATATTCCGTCTAACCCATTCTAATTGGTTATATCCTCAACCATATGGCTTCACGGGATATATATGCGGCTAAAAAGTGCATAGACAAAATATCGACTTTAGACCCTAGCCCTCTTTGAAGCAAATCCATTTCAAGACATTTGGAGACGATCTAGGGGTGTCCGTCCGTCTGACTGGATGGCTGGCTCGAAGAAAGTATCCGATTATTTTCAAACTTAGATCGATTTCGGAGATGAGCAACATCGGTCCACTCTCCCAAAAATGGTCAAAATTTTCAAATTTTTCATTCGATTTTGTGCTTTGCAAATACTAATATTTTCAGCAGTGATACTTCTGGTGCGAAAATGGACTATTTCGACCCGCTCAATCAAGTACCTTCCCCACAAAGGGCCAAAAATTGGAATAAATTATTAAATTTGAAATAAGTGTTCTATGGTCTTCAAATTTCACCCATTACAATTATTTTTATTATTACCAAATCTGGTGTGAAGATGTTAGAGGTCGGGCCACTCCTTCTGGTACCTCCCCTACAATGGATCAGAATTTTGAGTAGCCATGGACTTAATAAAACGAGAAATTTTCATCCGATTCCATTCAGACTTGGCACATCTCAATATTTCTGTCAGCACAAGATCTGTTAAAAAGATAATAGACATCAGACCATTCCTTCTGGTACCTCCCCGTAAAAATTAAAAATTTTGAATAACCAAAACGATTATAAAATCCGATTTCTTTTATATTTTACATATACCATTATTTCTAGTAACACAAGATCTGCTGTGACGATGGTATATATAGGTCCACTCCTTCTGGTACCCCTCCCACAAAATTTTGAATTACCATGAAACTCATTCAGACTTGGTACATCTCAATAATTCCATCGACACACGATCTGTTGTAAATATGGTAGAGATCGAACCATTTCTACTAGTACCTCCCCCACATAGGATTCACGATTTTGAAAAACAAAACGCTCAAAGAAAGCGAAATAAGCATCCAACTCTCTTAAAATTTCACACATAAAAACATTTCTGCTAACACAAGATAGAATGGTGGAGGATATAAAAATGGAATACTTCGGTCGACTATATCTGGAACCCGCGCGCATTTTAACATTTTCTAAAACATATCCCATATAAAGTGAAGGAAGTAGTCGATGTAGTCCAAACCTGTCAAGTCGCATTATTTATATCATATTTATTTAGGTCCGATGAGAAATGGACTGTATTTGACCATTCCTTCGGAACCTACTCCATAGGGGGTCAAAAATTTGAATAATCATAACAGAAGTCTAAATTTATTTAAATAATCGAACATTGGCTGGAGGTATGCATCTGTCGGCAAAACCGTCTGATACCTTTTAACTTGTTTTACAGTCATTTTAGGATTAAATTTTTTCACTTTGTGGTTGTGCCATAGATATTAGAGGCAATCAAAAAGTTATTACTTTAAGTGACAAAATAAATATTTTTAAATTTGATGATCTTGATTTTAAAAATACATTCCATTACCTAAAACTCCATCTCCCCTTTCTCGTTTTTTTTCAGGAAAACCTTATTAAAATGTCCTTTTACTTCTTCTGTGCAAAATTATTCAGCGACATGAAATCCACACCTGCGAAAACAAAGCCCTGTTTTTAAATGAAGCTCTGCACAAAGCATCTGCAGGTTATTCCAAGAAGTTATCACGTGTTTGCGCTAAAAACAAAACGAAACAGTCACGCATTTCAGGACAATAAGAAACAGTTGCGGACTTGAAATTGAAAGTGAAACGCCATCACCATTGGGAGGAACAAAATTCCCTCCAGATGCATAACCAGACACCGTTATAAACTCACCCACACACACACACACATTTCAGAGAAGCGATAAAACAAAACATGGATGAATACGGAATTACACGTTTCAAGGAAAATGAAATGCTGGATGACGAGGAATATGGTGAGTGAGACAAAGTAGTGCAAACATTGTTTATCCTAGTGCGCAAAGGCAAATAATTAAATATTATTATTAAACTGTGAAGAGGTAGGATAATCTTCATTTCTGCTGATATGCACACACATGCATTTTGTATCAACAATCAAATCTCGGAGATGTAATTCGTCTTCTTTGGAAATACCGATAGATATGTGGCAATGTTCGTTTCTTCTCATTATGCCTAGTTCCAATTAATTGTGGTTATTTGCAATCACCTTGGACCCCTCTTCATATGTTTGAATGAAATGTGATTTTATTCAAAGTGCGTGTTGCTACCCAAACAGTTGTACTTCGGAGCCAAAGTAAACTTGGCCACAAATGCCAATGCATGTAGGATATTTCTGGGAACAAAGCAATTATATTTGCAATAAGCTCTCTCACTCTTATCAGAGAAGCAAATTTAAATGTGACTTATTATGTTTTCTATTGAAAAGGAAACAAATTATTTTATTTTCGGAAAAGTTTTATTTCGGTACGTTTTTATATTAACTTCCACAAAATTTTAAGTATTTACACAAGCAATAAAAAAGAAAACAACACTGGAAGAAAATCGGAAATTAATGAAAAGGTTATACACTTATATTCTTTTGTAAGCATTTGACGTTCTTAAAAAAGTACGAAAAGAACAAAGACCGATCGAGACGGCTATATGATACGCTACACCATAGAGAATATGAAGAGGCTAATCTAATGTTTAATCATACTAAAATATTTCTAGTTTTTAGACAGTTCACAATTTTTGACAAGAGTGTCATTGAACAAGTTTTTTAAAAAATCCATTTTGTTTTTTTGACTAAAAATTATCCTAAACAAGCAAACCAGCAAGGAATGGTCAAAAGTCGGTTGGGGCCGACAATATGATACCCCACACCACTATGCTTATTTGGTAGAGCTCTCGTAACAAAAAGTTTTATATTGGAAAATGGCAGGGACGAACTTTTAATACCATCCACCATTTGGAACGTATTCTGTTAAAATCTTAAAAATACCGAATGTAGCCATTATATTAGGGTCTATACGATGACGTGAACCTGCAAAGGCAACTTCTGCCATAAGCCATTAAAATATCCATAAGCGAAACTTGAAAAAAAATATATATGTGAATAATGTCGCTTAAATCATCAAAATACCGAATATAAGAACGTACCGTTATATGGGGGCAATATGAAGACGTTGATCTGCACGGAAAATTTTCTTTCTTGGGCTGTGGTATTCATTACAAACTTCAAATACCAAATTTGAAACATTTCCGGTGAACAATATCTCTTAAATCACCAAAATACCGAAAATAGGGAGGTACCATTATAAGGGTGCTAAAACCAAAACGTGGACCTACATGGACCATTTTCAATACCAAATGTCCTGCAAACATAATATACATTTGAGTAAAATTTTATCGACCTACTTCATTTCGTTCGGAATCTAGATTGATTTTCCCAGACGGACAGATGACATAGAATTTTATGCTGATCAAGAATATATATACTTTGTGGGGTCTAAAATGTATAATTCGATGATTTACAAAGGGAATGACAAGGTTAATATACTCTCCATACTATGGTGGAGGGTATAAAAAATCCATTAAATTTGGGCTGATATTACTTATTTGGTGCACAATAAACCTGATATCAGATAAAGATATATATGGGGGGCTATATCCTAATCTGATCCGTTCTCGATACAATTTAACAGAAGCATTTTTGTGCTCCATAAGTTATCTGGTACCAAGTATCATACTTGTGGAGTGCATATGTGAGGGACTTCAAATCTCAAATCGGATAAAACATGTATATGGGAGCTATAGCTATATCTGAACCCATTTTCTCCAAATTTAATGTACTTGCTTCTAGACTGAATTCGGTCGGATGTGCCAAAAATTCAGGTAATTTATAATCACGCTAGGGTGAAAACAAATTAAGATAGGAAGCTAAAATTTTGCACAAATCTGTCTTTTGTCTGCAGGCAGGTCAAGTTCGAAGATGGGCTATATCGGTCAACGATTTCGTATAGCCTCCATATAAGAGTACCCCCGATATTCGGGTTTTTTATGATTTTAGCCACATTTTGCAATGAAATTATCTGAAATTCTGCACAAGGAGTTCCCTGTGAGACTTTATCCTCAGGAAATAAATTGCCTATAAAGGTTCACGCTATCGTATATCCCCATATAACGGCACCTTCCGATATTCGGTTTTTGATGATATTACCAACATTATTCACCGGAATTTCGTATTTGAAGTTCGGAATCGATACTAGAGCCTACGACAAAAAATTACACGTCTTCGTATATCCCTCATATAACGGTATTCATTTAAGTGATGTTTTTTGAAGGATTTTTTTTGATATTATTCAAAATCCCTATTGGAGGTCCCGTCAACGATCCAAAGTTTTATTAATGTTGATACTGTTTGGGTAGATGGCCTTCGGCCGGGGCTTGAGATCCAAAGATTGCAAACCAAGGTTTCCTTTTAAGCATGAAGCCTTTCACCGGGGCTTGAAACTTTCTCCTCTCGGTGTGTCCAACAATGTACTGAATATTCCTGCATTTTGGAGAGGTTATAATATCAACTATAATTTGGCTATAATTTAATAGATTCCCGAAATGGAGCCTTTTTAAACTTTTGAGGGATTTTTTTTCCAGTTCCAACAAATAATTTTGATACACCTCCCGTTTTAAATAACCAGAGCACCCATATAGCCCACATCGGTTTAGTAGGTCCGGGTCCTGGACGCGGACTTTCGGGTCAAATATCCGATCTCTAAGAAAAAAAATACTTTCCCGGAATCAGGATAAAATCTGAAAGTTACTACTAAATTAGAGTTACACCAAAATTAATTAAACAAATTAAATTTTGAAATTCAAAGAAAGTTACACCAAAATTAATTAAACAAATTAAATTTTGAAATTCAAAGAAAGTCAAATCAAATTTTGTCAAATTGTAGTCTTCTTTTCCAAATTAATGAAAACCTAGGTATAATTTTTTACCCTACACCACATAGTGGTAAGGGTATTATGTCTTTGTGCGTTTGTTTGTAACATGGAGAAGGAAGCGAGATAGACCCATAGTTACTTTTGAGGATCTTCATAGAATCACTTTCTGAGTTGATTTATGCATGTCAGTCCGTCTGTCCATGTATTCTTGTGAACAAAATGCAGGTCGCATTAAATGTCCGATTGAGATGAAATTTTCCAAACAACCTTTTTTTTGGCCCAAGGACGAACCCTATTGAAATTGGAGATAATCGGTAAAAATTTAGATATAGCTCCCATATATATCTTCGTCCGATTTGCATTGTATTGTGCACCAAACGTGTAATATCAGCCCGAATAGTGTGGAATTTTGCACATACGACCAAATTAGGCCTGAAAATAAGTATGCCAAATTTTATCGAAATCGGTTCAGATATAGCTATAGCTCCTATATATATTGTTCATCCGATTTATTATTTTTGTCCTCCGCAGCCTTATATGCACTCTGTAACAACAATATTAGGGGAAATATATCAAATGCAGCTCAGAAATACCTTTGCTAAATTTTATCGAGATTCAGATTTGGATATAGCTCCCTTATATAACTTCGTCCGATTTACATTTTATTGTGCACCAATAATATTTGTCCAAATGGGATGAAAATTGGCTAATATGACCGAATTGAGTCTAGAAGCTAGTATGCCAAATTTGGTGAAGATCGGTTCAGATATAGCTATAGCTCCCATATATATTGTTCATCCGATTTGTTGTATTTGTTACCTACAGCCGTAATATGCACTCCGTAACAACGATATTCAGGGAAATATATCAAATACAGCTCAGAAATATCTTTGCCAAATTTTATCGAGATCGGTTCAGATTTAGATATAGCTCCCATATATATCTTTATTCGATTTCAAATTATTTTTGCACCAAGTGGGCAATACAAGTCCGAACTTTAAATTATGATTATATTTATTATGTATTTAATTATAATTATAATATAACTATATTATATATATATATATATATATATATATATATATATATATATATATATATATATATTATATATATATATATATATATATATATATATATATATATATAATTAAATATGATTATGATTATAATTATAGCGTGTATATTGAATTCTCCCATTAAAACGTTTAATTGTTATGCGGAGCTCTGCTAAATTAGCAAAGTGGTGTAGGGTATCATAAAGTCGGCCCCGCTCGACTTTGAGACTTTCTTTACTGGTTAAAATTTGTTTTCTTTGATAATATTCATCCCCGAAGTTAGCTAAAAAAATTTCCCGGACTCAAGTAACAATCATCCGCCCAGTTGAATCATAATCACAGAACAAAGTAGTTCCCATTTTCTTTGGTAGTTTTCCAATTCGCACAACTATTCTTATAAAGAAGTCATATTTTTCTTTCCATAATTATGTGTCGGAACGGAATTTCAAGTTTTCTATTTTCTTTTTTTTTTTTGAGAATACAAAGCCCCTTTGTTAGCTTTCTACAATGTGTCACTTTTAACTGAATATTTTGCAATATTTGAGTTTCTTGTTATTTGTTTTTTTTTCCTCCCCCAAACAGAGGTCCTCTATATTGCTCCAGTGGAAATTGTTGTACTACTCTCCGTGTTCTATGGAACTATTAGTTTAGTTGCCATAGTTGGTAATTCTCTGGTCATCTGGGTTGTGGCAACAACGAGACAAATGCGTACCGTAACAAATATGTACATTGCCAACTTGGCATTTGCCGATGTAATAATTGGACTGTTCTGCATACCATTCCAGGTAAGTGGATTAGAGTGAAAAAAATATAATTTATTCTAATTTTTGTTTGATTTTCAAAAAAAAAAAGTAATTTTGAGTTGATGTCTTGTTACCGACATTGAGACAATGTAAAAAAGAAAAACATTCAACTTGACTGAATACGAATATTTGAATTTATTTACAGTTCCAGGCAGCCCTGCTACAACGTTGGACCCTGCCATGGTTTATGTGCGGATTTTGTCCCTTTGTCCAGGCCGTCAGTGTTAATGTTTCGGTATTTACTCTGACGGCAATTGCCATAGATCGCCATCGAGCAATACTAAATCCATTGAGGTAAATTATTCAAAACGAAGAGGATGGAGGATAAATGATTTTATATTCCAGCCATCGTTATGGTGTATTTAATGGAACAATAAAAGAATGTTAATGTGTTCTGTTTTTTCATTTGTGTTTAACAACAGCTTCTTAACCACACCTCTGGCAGGAATTTATTCCGTTAATTGGCGTGTAAAGATAAAAAAAAAAATCCAGGAAAATAAATACTCCTTCGCGATTGATTGTTGCAATGTTTCGTTAAAACAATGTTAATAATTCCATTGAATTCAATACTCAATACTTATCGAAATGAGGTATTCCTTTCCATGGAAACATCATTTTTCATGGGCAAGTTTATCACTCTTTTGATCGATACACTTTATGTAGTTGAAAATATGATGTGCATTGTTGAGTTGTGCGATGAACTGCCATGGCAGATGGTTGCAATTTCCTGCAACTTGGTATGCGTTATTTGTTGGAAAAACAGAGATAAAAACTTCCAAATGAGGATGTTTTTGGTTCAATTCGCAAATACGCAATGCATTGAGATAGTCTTTTTAAAGGTCTGGGTTAACATAATTTAGGATACTTTTTATACCCTCCACCATAGTATGGAGGGTATATTAAGTTTGTCAATTCGTTTGTAACACCTCGAAATATACATTTTAGACCCCATAAATCATCAGCATAAAATTCTATGTCGATTTAGCGATGTGCATCCGTCTATCCGTTTGTGGAAATCACTCTAGCTTCCAAACGAAGCAAAGTAGGTTGATAAAATTTTACTCAAATGTATACTATGTCTGCTGGACTTTTGGTATTGAAAATGGGTCATGTAGGTCCTCGTTTTAGCATAGCCCCTATATATCGGTACCTCCCGATATTCGGTATTTTGATTATTTTAGCGACATTATTCACCAAAATTTTTTCATATTTAATATTTGAAGTTCGTAATGGATAGTACAGCCTAAGACAGAAAATTGTCTGTGCAGGTCCACGTCTTCGTATAGCCCCCATATAACGGCACCTTCCGATATTCGGTATTTTGATGATTTTAGCGAATTCATTCATCGGAATTGTTTCAAATTTGGTATTTGAAATTCATAATGGATACTACAGCCTAAGACAGAAAATTGTCTGTGCAGGTCCACGTCTTCGTAGGGCCCCCATATAACGTTACCTCCCGATATTCGGTATTTTAATGATTTTGTGGATATTTTTTCACCAGAATTGTTTCAAATTTGGTATTTGAAGTTCGCAATTGATACTACAGCCTAAGGCAGAAATTTGTCTTTGTAGGTCCACGTTTTAGCATAGCCCCTATATATCGATACCTCCCGATATTCGGTATCTAAGGCTTTTAGCGATATTATTCACAGGAATTGTTTCAAATTTGGTATTTGAAGTTGGCAATGAATACTACAGCCTAAGACAGAAAATTGTCTGTGCAGGTCCACGCTTTAGTATAACCTCCATATAACGGTACCTCCCGATATTCGGTACTTTGATGACTTTAGCTACATTAATCACCGATTTTTTTCTAAATTTCGCATTTAAATATTGTAATTGCTTATGACAAAAGTTACCTATGCAGGTGCATGTCGTTGTATTGACCCTAATATAATGGCTACATTCGGTATTTCTAAGATTTTAACAGAATTTTTAATAGATTTTTTGAGAATTGCCAAATTCGTTCCAAAAGATGGAGGGTATTCAATGTACGGCCCGGCCGAACTTGCAGCTTTTTTCTTGCTCTCTTTAAGGTATGTGTATTTTTGGAAGATGTCCCTCTGCCTGTCTGTCTGCCTGGTGCGCACAATATCTCTCGAACGGAGTATCAGATTTGGTTCAAACTTAGTTCATCATAGTATTTTGTCAAACTTAGATCGAGTTCGGAGATGGGCAATAGCAGTTCACTCCTTCTGGTACCTCTCCCACAAAAGGTCAACATCTTCATAGAAAATAATTTACCGCATAGGAAGAGAACGAAAAAATTTTGCAAATCGTGGACAAGATCGGACTACTCCTTCTAGTACCTCCGCTACAAAAGGTTCAAATTTGGAATATCTAAAACGCTCATAAAATGCGAAATGAACATACGACTATTTTCAAACTTCGCACATCCCAAAATCTCTACCAAAACGAGATCTGATGTGAAGGTGTGATATATCGAACACCTCCTTTGAATACCTTCCCCACAAAGGGTCAAAATTTGGAATATCTATTTTTTTAATTTCGCACATCTCAATATCATAACCATTATAAGATAGATTGTGAAAATGGGGTTTACCGGTTCACACCTTCTGGTACCACCTATACAAAGGTCAACATTTTGAATAAGATGGGATATAGCGGCCATTTCTTCTAATACCTTCCCCACAAAAGGTAAACATTTATATATCCTTCTCCATGGAAAGGGGGAATAATCAGCATAAAATTCTAAGTCGATTTAACGATGTCCGTCTGTCTGTCCGTATGTTGAAATCAGGATACAGCCCACATTATTTGTATTGTGACTAGGATGGTTGGTATTGAACATGAGATATATCGATCCACGTTTTGGTATAGTCCCCATATAACGGTACCTCCCGATATTCGGTATTTTGATGGTTTTTGCCACATTTTTCCACGGATTTGTCTTAAAATTGGTATTTGTTGGTCATAATGGGTTCCAGCTCCCGTGGCGAAACATTCTATGTATAGGCCCACGTTTTGGTATAGCTCCCATATAACGGTACCTCCCAATATTCGGTATTTTGATGTTTTTGCCACATTTCTTTGCGGATTTGTCTAAAAATAGATATTTGTGGGTCCTAATGGGTTCTAGCTCCCGTGGCGAAACATTGCATGTATAGGTCGAAATTCCCCACTCCTCCTGGTACCTTCTACACTTTTTGACATTATGAATAATTATAACCCTTATACATGCGAAAAAAAATCCGCGATTTTCTTCAAAAATCGTGTATATGGGGTATGTTGACCCACTATTTCTGGTAACTTTCCAAAAAAGTTGAGCATTTTCAGAAAGTATGTATATACACATTATCCAAACCTGTCACCTCCAATGATTATATCAGACTAAGGTCATAAGAGAAATGGACAATATTGTTCTACGCCATCGGTAGCTCTCCTATAGAGGGTCAACATTTTGAATAATAATAAAACATGTCAAAATATATTTCAATAAAAGGATAAAGGCTGAGGGTATCAATCTGTCGGCAATAACGACTTATACTATTTAATTTGGTTCGAAAGAGGATATGGCCAATTTCCGCCCGTCTGTTGTAATCGCGTCAGAGTAAAAACGAATAGAGATTCCAATATTCAGTATTTTTATGATTTTAGCCACATTTTTCAATGTCGTTGTCTAAAAATTCACACAAGAAGTTCCGTGTGTGTACTTTATATCCTAGAAAATAATTGTTCATATAGGTTCCTAATATCGTATATCCACCATAAAACGGCACCTTCCGATATTCGGAATTTTGATGATTTTAGCCACATTTTCCAATGGAATTGTCTGAAGTTCCACAAAAGGAGTTCCTCAAAAGTACTATATCCCCTGGGAAAAAAATTTCTATAGGCCCACGATATCGTATAGCCCCCATATAGCGGTACTCCCCGATACTCGGTATTTAGATGATTTTAGCCACATTTTTAACGGAATTGTCTGAAAATTCGCACAAGGAGTTCCTTGTGAGTACTTTATCGCCTTTATTTATCTTTATAGGTCCAGGATATCGCATATCCCCCATATGTCGGCACCTTCCGATATTCGGCATTTTTATGATTTTAGCCACATTTTTCAATGGAATTGTCTGAAATTCTACACAAGGTGTTCTTTGTTAGTATTTTACGCCCTGAAATGGAATTGTATATAAAGGTCCACAACATCGTATATCCCTCATATGTCGGCACCTTCCAATATTCGGTATTTTTAAAATTTTAACAGAATTTTATATTTTGTAATTTGTAAAATTCTGCCTGGCCGAACTTACTGCTTTTTTAATTGTTTTATTAAAAAAAAAAAAAAAAAAGAGGCAGTGAGCCGAACTTGATGAAGGCTTAGTAAAAGATTTTGCTATGAACCAATTTTGTACGAAGGCTCTGCGATTCGGGCAAAAAAATTGGATATCATCTCACAGTAGTTCAGCATTTTTGAAGAAGAACAGTGTGGCTTGTTTGTTCGGAATACCGTAGTATTTTGTTGTTGTTTATTAGTGGAGAATGATGGTAATGTTTACCAGGGGGTAAGGCAGGGAATACCTAGGTTTCGGAAAGAGCCACCAATCCTCATCAGTTCGCTTGTTTTTTGTCTGGGATGTTCTCCCCAGAAGTTATTTTAAAAACAATTTCTATGACAAAAAAACATTTTTATTTTTGAAGAAGTATGATCTAATGATGCCACAGCCTATAGAGGGTAAAAAACCACACCAAACTGTCGCTTGGATGCATGGGTAGAAAATAGTTAAAAATCACTTATTAGTGGTACCAGCCATTTATAGGGTGGTATTATTTACAAATGGCTGAGATCCAAATTTTCGAATAACTCACCCATAGCTTAAATTGTCAATAATTTGCACTATTTATGGACTTATTTTGACATGATAATCAAATGTTTGCTCTGAGCGGAATTTGAATTATAAAAGTCATACCTTGTTCTTAATGCAAATCCTGATTACATAGATTACGAAATACCGTGAGATATGTCTATAGCTCTATCAATGGGGATGTATCTCCAAAACCCTAATTTTGTATTGCCGTGAAAGGCCAGCTCTTGAATATTACACACGTAAGTCCTTGGGTTTTAAAAATCAGACCTTTCAGATCTGCCCCTTCATCACATATTCATCTAAATAGTGTCTTCCCTCTACGCGAATTTTTGCGTAATCAGATACAATTTTCTCACTTAGAATTCCTAAAAATTTCCAATATCTCATTAACATTACCATTTCTAAAAATAATCTGATTAATTCTAGTTTTGCTTTTCATTTTCCTCTTTCAGAGCACGCCCCACAAAATTTGCATCGAAATTCATAATTGCCACCATTTGGCTGGCGTCAGTGACCTTTGCAACGCCCTGTGCCATAGCATTTCGCGTCGAATTACAACATGAACGGCGAAAAGGTATGTAGGGCCGATATAATTTTAAAAAATAATCCGCTAGACAATCTCTCATTGGCATATCTCTCTCTCTCTCCCTCTGTGATGGCTAGGATAATTTTTTTATTACCTTGTAGCATGTACTATTTCGCTTTCCCTTCTTTTTCAGACACTATCAACAACACCATTTACAATGTGACAACACCGTTCTGCAACAATGTAAATCTCTCCGATAGCCAGCTGCAGACGTATCGCTACTCGCTGGTATTTGTTCAGTATTTGGTGCCGTTTTGCGTCATCAGCTTTGTTTACATACAAATGGCGATACGTTTGTGGGGCACTCGAGCACCGGGAAATGCGCAGGACTCACGGGATATAACGCTGATGCGGAATAAGAAAAAGGTATAGCCTAAGTCGGACTATGTATTTGTTTATTTGCTTGCGAATGTATATCTCGCCAATGGATTATAATCCTCTTGGTGTTTGTGTTGTCATTTGATTGTCCTCTTTTTTTCTGCTATTCTTTATTACAGGTCATAAAAATGCTGATTATAGTTGTGATTGTATTCGGAGTCTGCTGGCTGCCTTTGCAGCTGTACAACATACTTTATGTTACGATTCCCGAAGTGAATGAATACCAGTTCATTGGTATTGTCTGGTTCTGCTGCGATTGGCTAGCCATGAGTAACAGCTGCTATAATCCTTTCATCTATGGCATATACAACGTAAGTAGCGGGTAAACAGCGAGTAGGGGAGTGCGCAAGGTGTGCCTGGTGGCAGTGGAAAGATTATTAAAAGCTTTTATTTCTTATTTTGTTTTTTTTTTTTTTTTTGTTATTCGGATGATGACTTGGTGATGTTGTTGTCTATAATACGATTATAAGGAGGAGAGTCAGAATGGGGTTGTGGGTGAAAATTATCCACGCGAGGGGATGTCAAGGAATGTTGTACCTCAAATAACAGTGTGGTAAAGGTGTTTCTTTTTTTAACGGAAACGTGAATCTGCGAGGACAATTGACTGACGGAATGATTGACTGACTGACTTAATGATTCATCAACGCCCACAGGAAACGGCTGAAGCTGGAATCTCTAAATTTTGTGTGAGGGTCACTCTTGGTCCGAAGGTGTCAGATAAGGCTGGGTTTTTGGAAATTGGCACTACAACGGTACGAAAAGTACTAAAAGGTACTAATTATGGAAACTTTTTTTATTGACTGATTGTCTGACTGACTTAACGATTCATCAACGCCCAGACGAAGAGGCTGAAGATGGAATCTCTAAATTTTGTGTGAGGTGTCCGAAGGTGTCAAATAAGGCTGGGTCTTTGAATATTGGTACTACAACCGTACGAAAAATACTGAAAGGCACGAAATATAGAAACCTTTGTTATTGACTGATTGTCTGATTGACTGACTGACTTAACGAATCACCAACGGCCAGACGAAGAGGCTGAAGATGGAATCTCTAAATTTTGTGTGAGGGTCACTCTTGGTCCGAAGGTGTCAGATAAGGCTGGGTTTTGGAAATTGGTACTACAACGGTACGAAAAGCACTGAAGGTACGACATTTGGAAACCTTTGTTATTGTCTGATTGACTGAATGACTTAACGATTCATCAACGCCCAGACGAAGAGGCTGAAGATAGAATCTTTAAATTTTGTGTGAGGGTCACTCTTTTTGTCCGAAGGTGTCAAATATGGCTGGGCCTTTGAAATCAGTACTAGAATGGTACTAAAAGTTACTAAATATGGAAACCTTTGTAGAGCTAGAACTCTTCAATTTCGAATGAGGGTCACTGATGGAAAGTATGATGGATGTACCAAAGGGATTTGGGAAATTTGCACAATAAGTGTACGAAAAGTACTTAAATGTACTAAATTTGGTACCATTTTGCAGCTTGTGAACGGTTAGAGCTAAAAACTTGAAATTTGGAATTCGAATCTAGATTAAGGAGTAGGGTCGATGTAAGGAGTTAGTTTTCGAAGTGTGTACGAAGTACTAAACGGTATTGAATTAAGTACAATTTGAATTTGGAGGAACGGATTAGGGTTGGAGTGTAGGATTGATACATGGAAGTAGTTTTCAAAATTTGTACATATTTGCACGAAAAAAGAAAATTTGATACAATTTCGATTTGGGTGAATTGGTTAAACTGGAATGGTGAAATTTGGAAATAAGATTACAATTGCATTTTAGGACTGAGGTATGTAGGTAGTTTTGGAAATTCGACTGCAGTGTACAAAATGGTAATACATTTGGTACAATTTATATTTTTGGGAAAACCAATCGAGCTGGTATCCTACAATTTGGAAATAAAATTACTGATACAATTTAAACTTATTCGTGGCTGAAGCTAGAATCTTGCAATTTTGCAGGTGGGTCAATGTTGATGGGTAGGGGTGAGATAAGGCTGAGTTTTTAAAATTCGGACTAGAATTCTACTAAAAGTACTAAGAAGCTCCAAATTTCCTGGGGGTCTTCTATCGGCTATAGAATACCTAGAGGTCATATACCGGCCTGGAAGACCTGGAAGTCTTCTATCGGCTATAGAAGACATGTAGGTCTTTTATCGGCTATAGAAGACCTGGAGGCCTTTATGGGCTATGGAAGCCCTAGAGGTATTCTATCGACTTTAGAAGATCTAGAAGTCTTCCATCGACAATGGAGGTCTTCTATCGGGATCGGAGGACCTGGAAGTCTCCTATCGGCAATAGAAGACTTGGAGATCTTCTGTCGGCTATAAAAGACCTGGAGGTTTCCTATCGGCTATGGAAGACCTGGAGGTCTTCTATCGGCTAGAGAACACCTGGAGGTTTTCTATCGGCTATAGAAGACCCCAGGTCTTGTTCTATCGGCTATAGAAGACATGGAGGTCTTCTATCGACTATGGAAGCTGGTGGACTTCTATCGGCTAGAGAACACCTTGAGGTTTTCTATCGGCTATAGAAGACCTGAAAGTCTTCTATCGGCTATAGAAGACCTGAAAGTCTTCTATCGGCTATAGAAGATCTGTAAATTTTTTATCGGCAAAGAAGACCTGGAGATCTTCTATCGGCCATAGAAGACCTGGATATCTTCTATCGGCCATAGAAGACCTGGAGGTCTTTTATCGGCTATAAAAGACCTGGAGGTCTTTTATCGGCTATAGAAGACCTGGAGGTCTTTTATCAGCTATAGAAGACCTGGAGGTCTTTTATCGGCTATAGAAGACCTGGAGGTCTGCATAGGCTATAGAAGACCTAGAGGTATTCTATCGGCTTTAGAAGTCTTCTATCGGCTATATAAGACTTAAAGGTCTTCTATCGGCTATGAAAGAACTAGAGGGGTTATATCGGCTATAAAAGACCTAGAGGTCTTCTATCGACTATAGAAGACCTATTCTAATATTTTTTTAAATTTTTTATTTAATTTGTTCCTACTTTCAGGAAAAATTCAAAAGAGAATTCAACAAACGGTTTCAAACCTTCTTCTGTCATTTTCACACAACTGGCGACATACACGAGCGGACAATGTCAATGCATACTAGGGCGAGTTCACTGCGCTCAACATATGGCACATCACGACTGCGCAATCAGAATCGTACCAGCAGCATCTATAATCGACAGACCTCCAGTGAGAGGGACAGCAAGCGGGGTGAGGCTCAACAGCTATGCAATTTCATAACCTACAATGTGAATAGCAATGGTGAGGAGATTTTGTTAAGTGGTTTGACTCCCACAAATGGTATTGAGTTGAAAACCAAAGAAATCGAGTCGGTTCGTCCCAACTCCGGTTGGCAATGGCAACGCAATAATTTCAAGCCATTACATCCGGAACTGCTGGAATGTGATAGCAGTGAGGAGCAGGTGCTGGTGGGCGATAAACATCCGCCCCACTCAGAAGCTTTGAGGGAATTTCCAGTTAATGGATACAGTGGAAATAAGGCAAATAATGAAGAGACGGATATTTTGAGGGCACACCACCAACAGACCATTATGTGAGAGGCCAGTTTCAATTTAGGAAATCATGAAACCAAAAATTAAAAAAAAAATATTAGAACCTAATAACATTATTTTCGAAAACACTACGAATACTCTATTCTGTAATAATCTGTATAAAATGGAATTTGTACCAAGTACCGTATACGTCTGGAACGTTATAGCGAGAAGATGATATCTTCTAAATACATACAAGTTATTGAAGAGAAGTGATGAATCCCAAAAATGTAAAAATTAAAAAAAAACAAAGGTTTTATTGACTGATCGATCCTAGATATAAAAGCAAACTTGCAGATTTTTTTGTTTGTTTTCTCTTGAAATTCGTTCATATCACCTAAACTAGTGGAAATGCTACAAAAAAAAAAAGAAACACACACACACACACACAAAGAAGAACTTTGAAGACCTGAAGCATATATACAAAGAACAAATTTTATCTGTACAAGTTATTAATTCTGAGAATTTCAAAATAGTTAATTAATGTAGGTATTTTGTCAGTATTATGTGTAACACAATTACTATTGTAATTAACTTATTATTATTATTATTATTAATTTTAACATTGCAGTAAGTTATCAGTATTATAGTGAGGAAATAAACAACTATTAACAAATAAATGTATACAACAAAAACATACATCAGTGTTTGATTTCTTCAGAATTTTATTTCAATTATGCCCTTAATTGGCTCAACCTATTTTAATGTGAAGTTAAGGTAAGAATCGTAAGTTAGTGTTTCAATACGGAAAATTACCTCATACGTTGATTCAATTCTGGTATTTAATTATACCCTCAGTCATATGGCGTGCCTCATCGAAATAACAGTTTTATGCCCTAGATCTCTTTGGACCAAATTTTTGAATAATTATAAATACTATAAAATGTGATGTAAGGGTCCGATTGCCTTCAAATTACATACATCACAATATTTTTATTAACCCAAAGTCTGGGGTGAAGATGGAATAAATTGTCTAGTCCTTCTAGTACCTTCCCCACAAAGGGTCAACATTTTGAACACCCATAAAGCTCTTAGAACGCGAAATTAACATTAAATTCCACTCAGACTTGGTACATCTCAATCTTTCCACCAACACAAGATCTTTTATAAAGATGGTAGAATTCAGGCGATTTCTCATGGCACGTCCCCCACATAGGGTTCAAGATTTTGAAAAACCAAACGCTAAAAGAAAGCGAAATAAGCATCTAACTCTCTTCAAATTTCACACATACGTCGCCATTGCTTCCAGGATAAATTCAAATCAATTTGGGCTGATGATACAAAATATGATGCACAATAACCGCCAAATCGGATGAAGATAAGATAACATTTCTAAGGTATATGTAATATCTGATTTCTAATATATCATTTCATATCGGATGAAACATATATGTGGTAGCTATAGCTATCTAAACCGATATTCACTAAATTTGAAGTACTTGCTTCTGAGCTGAATTTGATCGGATGTGCCAAAATCCGTTCCATTTGTACGAATTTTATATATATGGCGCACAATAAAATTGAATTGGGATGAAAATACAGGGTGAGATGAAAAAACTGCAACAACTTCAGACTGCTGTCAATTCTAAGCCACTCGTCCGACAACTTCTAAAATTATTCCAGTGACAGCTCATTATATTGTTTAGAAGCGTACAAAAGCATTTTGGTGAGAATTTTCCAGAAAAAAAATTATTCGTGATGGATTTCAAGCGTGATAGCGTAGTTTCTCTATATTTGGCTGGAAAAACACAAGTGGCTATCGTTAGAGCACTCCAGCATTTAAATGTGGATAAATCTTTTGTATCTCCTACCATCGCTCGTTATCGTGATGCTGGTAGCGTAGCCCGACGTCAAGGGAGTGAAGGGAAGAATACAGCAACATCAACATAAATGGTTCGAAAAGTAATGAAGCGACTTGATCGAAAGCCGCGTCGCAGTGACCGAAAAATGGCTTCTGAGCTGAACGTATCACAATATTCCATTCGGCAAATATTGAAAAATAAGCCATTGAATTTCCAAAAAGTTCAAGAACTTACAACGCAACAGAAAGAAAATAGACTCAAAAGAGCTGAAGAGTTGCTTCGTTTGGCCAAAAGTGGTGAACTGGCGAATTTGGGTTTCTCCGATGAGAAAACATTCGTTGGCGAGCAGTTTGTGAACAAACAAAATGATCGTGTTTACTTGCCAAAGAGGTCAGCTGAAAATTTCCACCTTCGGTTGGCCAGCAGAACTCGAGCGCCGGCCATGGTGTTAGTGTGGGCCCCCACAACAGCCGATGGTCGCTCTACGCTCGTATTAATCGACCGTGGCATCAGAATAAATACCGAATATTATCGCGCAAATATTCTGGAGGGTGTATTAAATGTGGACTTTCCAACAGAACTCAGCACCATCGCACTCAGCACGCGCCATCCAATAATGGTTACCACCTGAAGTTCCTAGCTTCATTTCCAGCGCACAATGGCCACAAAATCTTCGGATACCAATTCGCTGGACTATTGTGTCTGGAGTATTTTAGAAAACAAGGTTGCCACTAAAAAAATACCAAAGTGTCGATCACCTCAAGCAAGCGTTTCACCGGGAATGGGCCAAAATACCGCTGAGCAACATTCAGTCATAGTGTAACGTTTCATTGGCCGTTTGAAGGCCATAATTCATGGCAAAGGTGACAAATTCGAACAAATCTAAACTTATTTTAAAATTTGATGCTATTTCCGAATTTTTTTGCTTTCATTTAATAGATTTTTTTTTTAAAAAAATGTAAAAATTATGGCGTTTGACTTTGTTGCAGTTTTTGTATTTCACCCTGTACGTGGTACCTCACGCACATTTTAATATATTCTAAAAATTGTCATATATTTCATATAAAGTGAAGTCGATATAGGCTAAACCTGGTACATCGCAATATTTATATCATATTTATTTAGGTCCGATACGAATTGGACAATATTGGCCCATTCCTTCGGAACCTACACCATTGAGGGTCAACGATTTGAATAATCATAGCAGAAGTCAAAATATATGTTTAAATAATCGAACATTGGCTGAGGGTATACATCTGTCGGCAAAATCGACGTATACTTCTTAACATGTTAAAATTAAAATAACTTCTTATTTCTAAAATTTCCTAAACAAATTAAAACCCAAATTATGAATACTGGACAAAATGCATATCGGCTTTAATTTTTCTATCAGGTAATAGGTGGCAGACGACATAACAGAAATGCATTGGAAATTTTAGAAAAATATGTTATTCCGACGTCGCCGAAAAATGGCGGAAATACGCGGAAAAAAATATTAGGTATGACATAGACAAATGAAGATATAGACAACGAAAAGTTAGTTTTGTCATTTTATCCAGATGGCGCTCATCATGTTTTGCATAGTCAACATGCTTATTTACGCGTTCAAGTCACTCGACTTCGAAAACACATTTTATCGGTTTTTAAGAATTTTACTTGATTATTCCTGAATTTTTCGATGTCATCACGTACTTTTCACATTTCTTTTATTATGAGACTATTATCAACTGACAAATATCCTACAGATTTTGTTATTTTTAACATTTTACAATTGAGTGATTTCAAAATTCCCACTCAAACCCCTGAAACGACATATACGACATCTGCTGACCCGATTTTTTTCGAAGATGAATGGTGAGAGCATTTCGTTGTCTATATTTTCATTTGTCTATGATATAGACAACGAAATGCTCTCACCATTCATCTTCGAAAAAAATCGGGTCAGCAGATGTCGTATATGTCGTTTCAGGGGTTTGAGTGGGAATTTTGAAATCACTCAATTGTAAAATGTTAAAAATAACAAAATCTGTAGGATATTTGTCAGTTGATAATAGTCTCATAATAAAAGAAATGTGAAAAGTACGTGATGACATCGAAAAATTCAGGAATAATCAAGTAAAATTCTTAAAAACCGATAAAATGTGTTTTCGAAGTCGAGTGACTTGAACGCGTAAATAAGCATGTTGACTATGCAAAACATGATGAGCGCCATCTGGATAAAATGACAAAACTAACTTTTCGTTGTCTATATCTTCATTTGTCTATGCATTGAGTCGATAAAAATCAACAACAACACTTAAAATGTGTCAGCTCTGTTAATGAATAACATAATGCTATGTCACGATATCGTGACATAACATATTTTTCCACTACCAACGCCATCTATTGAAGAAAAGTAACAATGTAATGTCCCATCTTGTTATACCCACTGCCATATGGCTACAGAGGGTATATATCATTTGATACGGCCAAAACGTGCCTAGTCGAAATAACGGTTTTAGACCCTAGGTCTCTTTGGACCAAATCCGTTTCAGAACATTTGGAGTCGATCTAGCGATGTCCGTCCGCCCGTCTGTCTGTCTGTCTTGCTGGCTGGTGCGCACGATAACTCTCGAAGGGAGTATCCGATTTGGTCCAAATTGGGTACATCGTAATATTTTTGTCAAACTTAGATCGAGTTCGGAGATGGGCAATATCGGTCCACTCCTTCTGGTACCTCCCCCACAAAAGGTCGAAATTTTCAAAAAATATATATTTTGCACAGAATGAAAAAGGATAATCCGAATTTGCTCCAACTTTGCAAATCCTAATATTTGCGTCAGTGCTAGGTCAGGTGTGAAAATGTACAATATCGGTCCACTCCATCAAGTACCTCCCCCATAAATGGTCAAAATTTTGAATAATTACAACTCTCATAAAATTGTCTTCAAATTTCACACATCCCAATATTTATATTAACCCAAGGTCTGGTGTTAAGATGAACAATATCGGTCCACTCCTTCTGGTACCTCCCCCACAAAAGGTCGAAATATTCTAAAAATATAAATTTTTGCACAGAAAGTGAATGGATAATCCGATTCTGCTCCAACTTTGCATAAACTAAAATTTGCGTCAGTACTAGGTCAGGTGTGGAAATGGACAATATCGGTCCACTCCATCAAGTACCTCCCCCACAAATGGTCAAAATTTTGAATTTTGAAGGGGGAATACGTCGGTCCACTCCTTCTGGTACCTCCCCCACAAAACATTGAAATTTTGAGTAACCATGAAGCTCATAAAACGCCAAATTAACATCCGATTCCATTTACACTTGGCACATCTGTCGAAATATTTATATCATATTTTTGGGTCCGATAGGAAATGGGCAATATTGGCCCATTCCTTCGGGATCTGCTCCATAGAGGATCAAACGTTTGAATAATCATAACACTAGTCAAAATATATTTAGATAATCGAACATAGGCTGAGGGTATATATCTGGCGGCAATACCGACTGATACTTTTTAAATTGTTCTCCTTGTAATTTCAGTTGCTTTAGTTTCGACCACCAGTGTATATGTCCTTGACACTGGTAAACATAAATTTATTATTCCTAAATTTTCCTATGCAAATTAAAGCCGAAATTATGTTTATTCATATAAGTAAGTTAGTCTATGACATAATAATTCATTGGTCCTCAGTTGTTTTACATAGCGAAGTTTGACAGTATTTAATACAGAGGGAAGGTTTGACATTTTTATTTCAATAACTTGAAAGGAATATGCTCAGAGACATCTATCAACGTAAA